GTGTGTGTGTGTGCGCGTGTGTGTAAGTTTGCTGATTCTGCGATTATGCCTGACGACCTTCCTGCTGCTCTCACGACTTGAATTCAGGACGAGAATCTTTTACCTCGTTTGATATGACGACAAACATTATACTGAATATCACCAGCAGGTGTCGCAGAAAACTGTTAACTCACCAGAACTAATGAGAAATGTTATTTCAAATAAGTTCAAACCGGTTTAAGCCACCAGACCAAACCAGAACAAACCAGACCAGATCGAACCAGAGTAGACCATAACACACTTGACTGGACCCGACCGGACGAACCACATCTAAATAAATCCAACTGAACACTCCTCTTATTTCAACGAAGCCCCCTTCTAATCAGAACAGCAGTGCATGCTGGGTGGTGGAGCGCCTCACCGAAGTGTTCTGACACTGGATGCAGGAAGAGTTGAAGCGGACGGCGGGGATTCGCTGAACTTTGCCCTGGATGTTGAACACGCACTCGTAGTTCTTCTGACCCGACTGCGGCTGAGGGAGGTTACGAGCTCGCAGCGTGATTGGACGAACCATCCCGGCTGGAACCAGGATGTCAGAGGTGGGGAGGATCTGAGGACAGCCCTGTAAAGACAAGGGGGGGGGGGGGGGTACATAAAATATGTATCTTAAGTATTTATTCATTGTTTTAATCTGAAAATCCATCAACAGGAGAAACACTTTACAGTTTATCACAGAACTGATGTTCAGTTTCATCAACAAGCAAAATCCACAATGAGACTGTTTTTAAACAGATTCACTGAAGATCTGAAGGTTAATAAAGAAACGTGTTGAGACGGAAGATACACACACACACACACACACTTACAGCTCTCAGTCAGTGATGACCGACTGTGATAAGCTATCTGCCTAAGCCTTTGTGTGTGTGTGTAAGAGAGTGTGTGTGTGCGTGTGTGTGTGTGTGTGTGTGTGTGTGTGTGTGTGTGCGCGTGTGGTAATGGACAGCTGGTGACAGATCCAGGCTCCTGGAACTTCCTGCGGCTGCTGGATACACACACACACACACACACACACACACACACACACACACACACACACACACACACACTCTGACTGTGTTTCTAGCTGGAGTGAAACCTTTATTAACGAGCATCACCACGGTAATTAATTGCCGTGTGACTGACAGGAAGACCATTAACGCCACAGGAAGTGGACAAGAGCGCAGCGGACACCAGCCGCGACTGTGGAGCCTGTGTGACAGCCTGTGTGTGTGTGTGTGTGTGTGTGTGTGTCACACCTCAGTGCAACAGAAACATGTTTTAATATCAAACTGTGAAACAGAGAGTCGGAGCTGACTGTCACTTTTACAAACCTCTTTAGTCATATTTAAAGGGCCCAGACACCATTTTATTCACAGATCAGTTTCCTGCTGCTGTTCAGGGAAACACGTTCAAAACATTTATAAAATATTTACATCACATGACCAGTGTGTGTGTGAACGCTCATGTGATGTGTGTTTTCAGGTGTGTTCCTGAGAACAGAGGAGGAATTCGTTTTTAAATGTTTTAAACATAATAATATGAATGTTGTCAGGGAGCGAACGTCCCTGTTCATTTTTGAAAAACATAATTTCCCAGAATTCCTTGTCACAGGGTGGATCGACATATGTGTGACAGTGGAGTGTTGCTCTTTAACTTTATCAAGATATGAAAAGGAGACTTTTAATTTGAAAGAGACTTTAACCTGGATGAACGAAACCGGAAACGGTGAATTTTTTTCTCCTTTTTGTTTCCTCCCTCTCCTCTCAGCCTCTCGTCTCTCCTCCTTTAATCAGCATAATTGCTCGGTAATTAACATTAATTGCTGTGATTGGACGCTTTCATGTCAATTAAGTGGCTATTCATCTTCCATTAACCAATTAGCCAATCAGAGGTTGTTACCGTCAACCGGTAATGAAGCTGAGCACCAGTCGCGTCAACGATACGCTCACACGACGGCTCAGTTTTATTCTGCTAACAAAATAACAAGCAGGGCAAGAACGCCTCGTTAGTCCCACAGGCGGTCGCCGTAGTTACGTGTGAGGAAGCAGAAGTGAACCTTCCTCTGTGGACCATGTCCCAGTCTTTGTCCACTTTCTCTCCGTCCTCTTTTTTGTGTCTTTTCACAACAGATATCAAAACGTTCAGACGTCACCTCTGAAACATGAACAGAAACATCTGTGCACAGCAGCAGAACCTGATCGCTGCATCTCTGTAGTTCAATTTGAAATCCCAGATGTCACAGTGTCCTTGAACGCATCAGCAAGGTGTGTGTGTGTGTTTGTGTGTGTGTGTGTGTGTGTGTGTTTCCACCCTTCACTGTTGACCTGAAGCTTTACTGTTGTTTACTGAAGCGTGTAATGACAGAGAGAGAGAGCAGCTCCGACCTCCATGTTCCTGCTCTTCACTCTCAAAGACGGAAAAAGATGCTGATTTAGATTGACAGCTGAACACACACACACCCACACACACATGCACACACACGCACGCACACACACACACACGCACACACACACAGTTTTACAGTGATGCTTCACTCTGACCTGTTACAGAAACCCCCTGCTCTAAAGTTTTTCTCTCTCTGACATCATCCTCAGCTCTGGATGTGTCATGGCTCCCGCGGACAATGTGGCACCGTCCTAAGCGCCGTCTGCGGTGGTTGCGTCATATCTGCCTCTTCTCCTCACTCATGTATCAACAGCTCATATCGTCTCACACAACAGGACAACTTGGTCCTTTCATTATTTGGCTTTAACCTGTGATGTCAGAACTGATCTTTGACCCCGGAGTCCAGCGTCTCTGTGTGTGTGTGTGTGTGTGTGTGTGTGTGTGTGTGTGTGTGTGTGTGTCTGTTTACCTCCATGTTGCTGACTCGTCCCTCCTGGAAAGAACAGTCCTGCAGGTTGTTGGTGCAGATGTGACGATATTTACACCAATGACATGGAAACATGCTGCTGACACAGGAAGTGCACCTGGGAGAGAGAGAGAGAGAGAGAGAGAGAGAGAGAGAGAGAGTCTCCTGGTCAGTAGGGGGCAGTATTATACTTCGTTCACACCGAGAAGCGAATTGTCACAACGCACTAGATGTGCTATTCACGTCACGGGATCATTTGTGTTTAATGGCGTTTCATTGCACGACTTATTATTTATTTATATTACTCGAGCGTCGGGCACGATTGGCACATTTGGTCTCGCCATAATTCCAAAAGCGACGACCGGGACGAGAGAAGCTAACACACGTCTAAATGCGCCTTTATATGTACGTCACACAACACTCAACCAATGGCTGCATGCAAAAACTACTTGGCAACATGCTACTTAGCGTGCTAACACAGTCTTTAAGTACTTAGAAAGGAGTGGTGGAGGTAAGACGGCTCCAGACTTACGAGTTGAGCACAGAGCAGTTGTAGTAGACGAAGCTGGTGGTGATGAACTGATGTCCCGTCTCTGTGGAGCGAAGACTGAGCTGAACCACACGTTTCTCACCTGAAATCACAACGTGACGTCAGGAACCGATCAGCCGGCGTCGACACGGTAACGCACACGGACACAAGCAAACAAAGTGTGTGTGCGTCTTACCGTATGTGTGTGTGTGTGACGGCAGGTCCCTCAGTGAAGGAGACAAACACATCACCTGACCTTTAGCCTGCACCTCGCCAGGGCTTTCACTCAGGTCCTCAAACACACAGGAGACGCCACCGGACAGAGCCGGGACGTTCTGCACCCGGATGGTTAACTACAGATAGAGGGAGGGAGAGAGAGGGAGGGAGAGAGAGAGAGAGAGAGAGAGAGAGAGAGAGAGAGAGAGAGAGAGAGAGAGAAGGTGTAAATGTAACGACTCAGTCTTTCATTCCCTCATTCTCTCCTCGTTACAGATCCCAGAGTCTGTTAATGAATCTTTTCAGCTTGTTAATGTGAATATTTCTGCCACTAGGGGGCGTCTCAGTCATAACAGCAACTAATTGACATGGTGCAGCAGCAGCAGCGTGGGATGATGGGAGTTGTAGTCTTCTCCTGGTTAGGATTCCTTCAGTGTTGATGGTTCAGGAGTTTTTTGAAACGCACATTAACTCTGATTTAAACTGTAGTTTCGATTGTGAAGGGTTTTAATACACATCTTGTATGTGTGTGTGTGTGTGTGTGTGTGTG